CTAGAAGATCGTGGTAAAGAACGACGCAACGATTCGGCCCGGTGGGAAAGATGGGAGGCCAATGGCGGGATTGTTCGGATCAAAACACCAGATCATCATGATCCCTCAAAACAGATACCTGCAGCAATTACTTCAAACACTGATTTTATCTCCACAAAAGGGCAACAAGTATTGATAAATAGTGGACTAAAATTGCCAAACCATACGCCTGACACACATTCATTACCCCAGATTCCCAAATCATTGCCTGCGATACACACTTCTTTCCGTAAGTTTCTCTTCGCTAATCATGCTATTCATGTATACTGTGGAAACTGACTATATGGCCATAGCGGCGAACATCCCGGTACCGCGGTACGACTCGCCCTCACAGAGTATTTATTCTGCATATACACCTCGGTCAAACTTACAGCCAAAACATGAAAGGACCAAGGAGGAAGTTGCCGATCTGAAAGCAACACGAAGGGCTGAAATTGAACGAAGATCTTTATTGTTAGATCCTCCACTGACAGCAAATGTTCTAGCCCATATGAGTTCATTCCAGGCCGCTATACAGATAATTCAACCTTTGAATGATGGTGCCTGGGAAGTTTTGAAGCCCCGATTACTATCACAGAGAGAAGAAGCCGAGCAACGAGAAAATGACCGGATCACTCAATTCCAAGTAGTTGAGGAGCGCCATTTCAAGGATATCCAAGCCAAACCGGAATACAAGGAAGCCATTGATAGAGAATGGGATGATGCCCAGGCCCCACTCCGGGCTCGGATTGGTGCATATGCCGATGAAACAATTCGTTCTGGCTGGAATGGTGGTGACAAAGTGACCAAAGAATCTAGTCCTAAATTTGCCGCGGACGTCCTGATCTACGTCAGAAAACGGTTCTACGCTGAGATCGCCAAGGATGATGCTGCAGTGCGGGCAACAGGCCAAGAGCCACCATCAGATCCTCCATTAGGACCATACACTCGCAAGCTAACTTTGGAAAATATGAAATGGGTATTTGATACAAAGATAAAACCTCACACTGAACAATATAACAAGGACCTTTTTCTTTGCAATGTCTGCGACAACAATTTTAAGTATTATGGTTTCGAGGGCGTTGTTCAGCATTTTGCTGCCAAGCATACCACTTCGCTCAGTTTTGGTAGCATAGTAGTACATTGGAAATCAGAATGGCCAGAATATCCACCGTTTTGTCCAGATCCTATTGCCCGGGTTAGAACTGTCTTTCCTAATTTTCCTGGGCCTAGTACCACCGCTCCCTACTCCGGTTCCGCTCCCTCTATCCCGCCGCATAGTGGTTATGCTGGATATCAGCAGCTTGCCTCGGCTGCACTGAACCCCAATGTTTATCAGGATCCATACTATGGCCATTCCCAGTATGGAGACCAAAATGTAGCCCCCCAGCCAGGTCCGTATGCACCGCAACAAATGTACCAAGATCCGAATCAAGGCTATTCCCAATATACAGCACAACCATTGTCTGCCATAACCACAGGATACAGCGACCATGTTCAAAACTACCCACAATCCAATTATGGAGGTCCCTACTCTACACCGACTCAGCCAGGCTATACGTCTTTACCCCCTAACCAGATGTATCCTACTCCAATACCGGATACCAATGTCCAACAGTCATATATTTCCCACAACGCCCAGCATCTCACCTCGTACAGTCAGCCACCAGTTTACACCAATGGTACTTACTCACAAATACCAGCGTCCGCGCCGCAGCAAGCACAACCTCGTGCTTCTTCGTTACCACAAAAGACCGAGGAGTACAAAGCCCACCTTCGGCAGCTTGGTCATGACGCTAGGTCTATTTGGGACTCGATAACTGGCGTGAAAGATGTTCCCGGCAGCGTAAAGGCACACACAATCCTCTTTCACCTATTGAAAAGATTTCGCTCCAAGTTTGGGCAGGATCCACCACTCTCGATGATAGTTGATGGATTGTCCAATAACAAGGACATGCGACCTGTCCGAAATATTAATGGGCTTTTGTGCCGAGCTTGTGTACTAGGCATGGCAGGTTCTGTTACTTCTTCAAAGCCCGATAGGAAACATTTTTCATTTCCCCAACTTACCATCCACTTCCGCACGATACACGAGGAAGGAGTGCCTTCGAACCTTATAGGTCACTTCCCAGATTGGACAAAAGACATGGTCGAGCTTCCCGATCAGGCGAAAATTTCTTCACTTGCAACTGCCCCAGGAATGGAAGCTCGAAAGCTTGAGATCTTTTTAGAAGCGCTCCCAGAGATTGCTGCGACTCCACCACCGAAAAAGGACACGATGTCTCAGCGAACTTCATCGTGGCAACCAAAAGCCGAGACTCTAGATCAAGAAACGTCTATTTGGCAGCAGGTGCCATATGTCAGTCAGGGCATAACTGTACCCCTTGCGCCCTCGCAAGATAATCATGAAAAATACTATGCCACTGTTGCAGACACTCGAACTCCTGATACCGAGTCGGTTTCTGTTACTTACAATAATAACCCGTATGATCCACGGCACCCTCGCGATGCGCAAAAACGACAATCATCACGTAACCCCGCATCGATCGCCATTTCATCTCGTCATGAACAAGATGGCCAATCAATCCACGATGAAATTGTTGATATTCGCCGACCCACCAAGTCTACATCACCTTTCGTATCTTATGCCAGACCCGAAGAAACTCATAGCCGGCGTACCGCTCGTGATGAAGCCCCAATCTACTTGGATAGAAATATTAGGTACCGAGAAGCAAACAACGCAGAACACAAACCTCGCTACGAACGAACCATCAAAAGCTACGATGATTTAGCCACCCCAATTCGAGAGTATGGAGCCGCAAACTCTCAATCGCATACACTAAATCGACAGGACCAAGCACCACCCAACACCTCTAGTGTTGCGAGAAACTCGTTAGAAACTCAGTACAGGCCATTGGAGAACACAACATCTCAACAAACCCGTATCTTCGATGTCGTAGCTCAGATCTCTCAGCAGGCACAGCAAGCACGTGGAAAACAAACTCCCGCTCGTGAAGGGCCTGCTGAGCTCGGGTCCGAAGACGGTGAGTTGCAAAGAGATACAATTGCGCATGCCAATCATAAGCGGTCGTTAGATGAAGCGACCAATGAAACGGAACGGTTTCTTGGCAGCTTGCAGCCCGAAAAGCGTTCCGATGCGGTCAGTCAAAAAGTTCAGCAGCCTATGCGGCATAGAGAGGATTACATCCAGCCAAAATGGGAAGCAGAACGCGCCGATGGTGTGCGCCAGAGACGCCCCCTGTCATCAGAACCACAGCAGCGTTTTCGAGAAGTATATAATGATGGTCTAGCCGTGTCCGGTCGACCTATACATGTCCCTAGTGAGCAGGGGTCCTACAATGGGTACTATACACAAGAGCGCCCTCCTCAAGCTCGACAGATTCGAGCTTATGCTACGAACGATCATTATATGGATCCTGTTTCTGGGCAATCCTTTGCACGAGAGCGTTCTCCCGAAATTATTGATCGACGATACCCGAGCAATGTAATTCATCGTGATGAGAGACAGGGAAGTCATGGTGCTCATCGCACTCCGAGCAGATATGCTCGATATGAGAGTGTCAGATTAGACAATGACCGAGCACGTTCAAGGTCACCAGTATACGTTAAGGCGGGCGCACAAGCTGGACAGTATGCCGAACGCAGTCCAGACCCCCATATTTCTCGGCAAGAGCCCATCTATCGCATGCGGACACCAAAAGAAGAAATTATCTATGAAAGGGCACCACGCCAGGAGTACTATCGTGTTTATGCCGATGAGCCTCGACCTCGACAAGCTTATGAATATATCCAGTACGATTCTCAAGGTCCTTATATCATACATAGACCTGCCCGCCGGGAACATGAAACAATTTATGCGGCATACGAGGGCGAGTCGCTTTCGAGGCAACCTCTTTACGAAGCGCGCCCAACTGTTGGACATACAGATCCTGCTTATTATGAAGAGTACGATCCTCGCCATCCAGAGCCGCCTCCTGCAGCCGCAGAAGCTCGCGAGGTTAGATACCAGTAACTGATGTTTTTCTTTGGGGGTCGAGGCTTTATATTACGATTGTAACAACATGCTCTGCAAGGTTGGTCTGGTGTGAATTTTGCATTTTCCGCGTTCTACAACTTTTATGTTTTTTGCACTTCTTCCTCGTCGAAGATCATTTATTGGCTGGTAAATCATTTCTCATTTTTGTGTATCACCATTCATTTTCTTTTGTTGTAACAATCATCGTGTACAACAATTTAGTTCTCCGTGGTTCAGATTGCTCTGAAAGCAACCTCCTACCTGAAAGGCAGATTATAGGCGTAGGGCGTTTATACTTCTGGCATGGTCAGATTTCTTAGAGGGGAAAGGGATGAATCATGAACTCTTTATCATGTTGTACTTTTATGAAAAGCATTGTATTGGTAGGCAAAGTAATACATATTCTGAAAGAGAACTATTGATTCTATTGATTCTATCTTTCCACCCTAGTACTGTCACTGTGATCTTCCGGTATTGTGATATCACAGCACAATTATTCAAGCCAGGTATTAATTATCCCATTCTAAATTTACTACAAGGATGAATTCTAATGAGGTGGCGTGATAAACAGATTCACCATCACGCTCCAAACATGAAGTGACTTGACTCTGACTCCTAGTGAGTGACACATTGTCCTTTTCAAGCGTACACAATCTTACTATTATATTCCTTCTTTTCTACTCTGTAATCATTGCAAATCTACATCTCGTTGCCAACATCATAATTTCACATCTTCTTTTCAACTGTTAAACATACATCTTCTTCCGGAAAGCACATCATCACATCAAACCTTATACCAGCCAACACGTTACTCTCAAGCACCGAAAATCAAGCCTGTCAAATCTTCCCACTTTCGAGATAGTCATAGGACCAACAAACAAACTCTCACATCCCCTTGGACTTTCAATTTTCCAAAACATAAGTCCGAACAAATCGGACCACGTAAATGAAAGCTCTCTGGTGGGTGGCCATTGCCCTCGCCCTTCGTTCCTTATTCGGTTCATCCCACGGTTCATCCAGAGATCAGGATCGCCCCGCAAGTAGGGGCAGACGTTATGATTCTCGGAGACGAAGAGAAAGAACGAGGAGTAGTAAGCGATATGAATATGACGGAGATGCGGGAGATTTCGAGAGATTGAGTGGATTAGGCGAGACTCTTCTCGATCTTCTTGGAACTGAAACGAAGAGCAAGAAAAGAACGGAGAGAAGAAGGGGAAGTGAAAGTGGAGGGCAGGGGGGCAGGAGGAGGAGAGGTAGTTTTGCTTACTAGGTGGCGGGGATTGTTGATAGGGAGTTCGGAGTTGGTCGCGTCTATTACCCTTCACCGTTTATACATCTGATTCCTAAGCTCTTCTTGAAGAAATACCGGAAAGACGGGTATAGACCACGCGTCACGAAAGGGCCTAGGAGAATTTTTTGTTATGCAAAGGCTTTGCCTCAAATGTAGATAGTGGAATAAAAAGGAAAATTTGTCATAGAAATTTGTGTTTTGCTCTTCATACTTCTCCCAGCCTTTCTAGTCAGTTATCACTATATCGCCTGTTAAGCTTAATTGGGGTTTCAATATTGCGCACTGCAGTCGGACAGTCAGAACTCTCAACATTTGAAAGTAATACAATGTCTGGGATGGATTCTATCCTTGGAACTATTGGAATGATTTCATCAAATTCAGGCAAGGAAAGCCTCTGATCGTCGGGCTGCAATCTAGCCTTTTTGATACTTTGAGACTCCAAACCCAAAAGACCCAGAAGGGGCAGTTCATTCAAAAATGAAACTTATGATGGGGTTCTATGAGTCATGATTCCCCGCATGGATCTGCACGAATTAATAATATCACAATGTACACTAAGCATCGTAAGGTTTATATCAGTCTGGGAAATCTTAAACGATCAAAGTTAGAGTTTGGAGCTTAAAATACTTGGTTGCAGAGATCTCTTGATATGTCATGCCAGCCTAGCGTTCGCACAAATATATATATCTTGCAATATTTGTTCGGTATAGATGCTGTTGAAAATTGCATATTTCTTCATTTGACGTCCAATGTTCGATATGTATCTATACATCTACAGGATAATACAAGAAACATCATCAATCTCAACTTCTGTAATCACCAAACCGATCACCAATCACTGCTCCATCATTGTCATCTCCCATAATGACTTCTGCTCCTCTATCTGAATGCGTAAATATATGCGCAGTATTCAGATGCTCACCTTCATGGGCTCATACCTTCAACGTTGTGTTCCTTATTATCTTTGTCACTCTCATGTCATCGCTTCTCATCATGGGAGCAATAGCAGGCTACAAAGATATCATGGAGGAACGTCAACGATTCCCACCCCCCAATCCAAACGACACGGAAGAAGGACGCGATGCACGCCGAAGAATCTGGGAGAGAATCGAGAAGCGAGATTCTGCCCGCCTACGTGACTACGAATCTCTCGCTATACAAGTAGAGTATTGCGCTAAAGATGTGGATAAAGATGATGTTTATTACGTAGATCTTGTGGAACAAGCGAGGGCGCTGAATTATACCATAAAGAGCATAAAGAATGAGATTAAAATGCGATACAAATCAAAAGATTCTGGAATATATAAATTAAGATAGCCTGGCCAGATGAGTGGGCTTCCTAGTATCTCATGGCTAGGAGTATCATATGCTGAATTTATTTCATAACGTTGCTAAGGGTATCGATATTTTCACACAAACCTTACTGCTTCTGCTTGGGACCATCACAAATGCCGAGCTCTCTAGCCAGTAGATCAACCAAGAGACTACCAACTCGGGACGCCTTCGCTTGACGGGGATCTTATTGATCAATCAGATAATCAGGATTCCTGAAATCTGATCAAATGTTCACATTCGTTTTCCAATACAAAAGCAAATCAATCATTCATCAAGGTATATTGTACGGACCATATTGGCGCTCTGAGTTGGTAGTTACTCGACTACGGCACTATATCCGCCTCACTATTATCCTTTACGATATTGACATCTTGTTACGGACGATATGAGGCATGCAAGTTGGTCTGCCTAAAAGTTCTAAAGCTGCGGCAACTTGTAAAAAGAGGCAGTTCTGTACAAGCTTTCATGTGGTATTAATCGCGAGTAACTTTGTGTCAACTTTCGTCAAAGTCTCCGTTTCAGTGGCCCGAGTCAAGTACTTCCACTCTTCATTTCCTCCCAATCCTCTTTGCTGAACCTGTATTCAAGTTCTTTTCCTTCACTCTTTACCCGCTTCCACTTCGCCATCCCCATCCGGTCAACCAGTCCTTGGAACGGCGTATTCACCGCCAATGTCTCCAAAAGTGCCTCCTCACATCCAACGCCCTCCGCCTCCACCGTTCGGAATGCAAAGTCCAACGTGGCCTGCAACGCTTCCCGCCCGTACCCCTTCCTCCACTCAGAGCTGTCAATCAGAACACCCAGATCCGCAATTCGCTTACCCTGGGCGTCCGTGGTGACCGCATTGATGCCGGCGAAGCCGATGACGTCATCCGCAGGTGGTGAAGCTGATCCCGTTTCTGTTGTTGAGCGTTGGGTTATGACTAGAAAGTATGCTTTCCCACTAGCGCGTAGGTCATTCCATTTGGCGATTCGGCGTTGGTATTCTTCTATCGTTGGGTTGCTTGGCGTGTGCGGCTCATTTTGGTTGTTGAGTGGGTTAGCAAAAAGGGCTGTGATGGGGGCAGCATCTGAAGGGACAGCGGGACGAAGGATAAGATTTCTAGTGCAGAGATGGGGATTTGGAGAAGACATCTTGCGACAAAAAGCGTTGATTACTATCAGTAACTCAGATGAAGATCACGGGTGATTAAGGGAACAGCACAGGCTACGGTGTAGGTAGTTCCTGGTTATGTTGTGTCTCAGGATCAAGAAGATAGGAAAATTAGGAGCAGAAGGACGGAGTTAAATACTGGGAGGACGACTCGTTGGTGAGTCATCTAGATGTACAGATGCAGAGAGATAAGCGATGTCTGCTTATATAATTACGTGAATCCTGTATTCCGACAAAAAATATGGAATGCGGGAGGTACATGTGGTTTGAAATCTCTGTATTTTGTGAGATAGATGAAGAATAGAGGAAGACCATCGTGGATGGCGGCAGTATCTATGATCTGAAGATTTGGGATGCCAGTGCACTTTACAATCTGGATTATACATAGCGCATCGTATGAGGCCTGGATCGTAGAGGAAGCAGAGAGCAAAGACCAACTTTGAGAAGGGCTTTTGAACAGTTTGCCAATCCAAATTTTGCTTTGGGATATTGATAAAAGAGACCTACTAATGCTACGAGAGCTACCCAATCATTCCATCAAAGCCTAAGGCTTGTTGTATTTCCGGAAGAGAGAATCCGTGCCCATAATCTCAATAAAATCGCAACAGTTGGAATAAATATCATCACAACCGAGAATGCATGAACTCCGGGTCCCAAATTCTGCTTGAGCATATCTGGGGACAATTGAGATGGCGAGGTCGTGATGTGATGATCCCTGCACTCTTGTAAATAAGAAACGTGACAGTGCAAGTTCTAGAAAGATTTCAATATGTATCCAGTGGTTTAAAGTAGCTTGAAAAGGGTAGGATTACCATACCAAGATAGTATGTACTTATGTGACTAAAAGCTATAAGGAAACTTTCTATGAAGAATTCTTTACCATACTTCAATTTAACAGGGTCATGGTTATGCAATATTAATTAGGTCTGAGGTTTTCATCAACCTTATAGCAGCTTGAACTGATGTAGCTCAAAAGGCTGCATATGGTCAGTATCCTAGGACCCCCCCACGTAAGAATCTTAGTTTTTCTTCGGAAATATTACCAATTCCGGTGGCTGCATATGCCCGCAAATGGCTCATGGGGCACAGTAGCGCACCAGTTTGTATACGCTGAGTGAATTTTGTCTGCACAGTTCAGCTCAAATAAAGTCAGGAAACCTGAGAACAGGGTGAAAGTAAAACGGAAGTCAAATCTAAAACCAGGAACAAACCTCACCTACCTGAAAACCCCTCCAAAGTTGCAATGGGTGCCATCAAACTAGACGGAGGAGTTGCAATCATCACCGGTGTGAGTCTAACCGAATCACTTTAGACTGCTTTTGCTAACACGATAACCAGGCTGGGTCGGGAATTGGGAAAGAGACTGGTTCACCTTCGCCGAAGCTGGAGCATCGGCTATTGTTTTTGCGGATATTGACGAAGCCAAAATCAAGGAGGCCGTCGAAGAGAGCAAGAAGCTTGCTACAGATCCCAAATTTCAAGCTCTTGCCATAGGAGTAGATGTAACAAAGGCAGAGAGCGTTCAGTCTTTGATTAAGGCTGCCATCGAAGCCTTCGGTCGGGCTGACTATTGTGTCAACAGTGCAGGTGTAAGTAAATAGCGGTCAAAAGAGCCATGATAGTTGACTTAGCTCCTGAGTGGTGATTTTTGCTAACAATAGACTATTTTACTAGATTGACGTTGATGTCTACATTCAGTTCAATGATAGCGTCGAGGCTACCTATGATAAGGTAATGGATATAAATGCAAAAGGAGCCTACCTGGTTACTCGAGCCGCTTCCAAACAAATGGCATCTCAAGAGCCCCGAGTCGTTGCTGCGACTAGAGGCAGAGAGAGGAACTTGGGACGTGGTTCGATCGTCAATGTCAGATCGGCTTTGTCATACGGCGCCGTCTCATACAAAGTTGGATATGTGACCTCTAAACATGCGTTGCTAGGTATTACCAAGGCTTCTGGTAAGTAGACCTGCATATCACCAGGTCTTTGAATTACGTTGGAGATAATGCCTGATTCTTTATCATAGCCGTTGAAGCTGGCCCGGCAGGCGTACGTGTAAACCTGGTCTGTCCCAGCTGGGTAGCAACATCTATGTTCACAGAAGAGTGTAACAGAGCTCCTCCCACAGCGGAATTTATCAAAGCTGCAGTATCGACTGGAAGACCTGCCGAGGCTGGGGAAGTCGCAGAAGGAATTAGCTTCCTGTGTAGCTCTGCCGCGACCTACATTAACGGCGTGGGCTTGCTCATTGATGCGGGCTTAACATTGACTGTGCACTTAGGATAAATATAACTCGGTTTTCACTTTCAAAGACTAGCCTAGCAGAGCAGTGTTGGACGGTGGCTGTGCATTTCTAGAGATGGAAAGCAACGTTCGTTAAAACCAAGAAAGCTTGTATCAAACTCGAGATGGCGATAAATGTCAGAATGTTCGTTTGCGTTGCGTATACCTACGAATGAGAGTAGCAGCAATCCTTACGCAGGAACCATTAG